CCGGATTCGTTTCACTGATTATATGCAAATGGCATAAAGCCTAAATGAAAGAAAACTAACCCAACAGCTCACTAGGACTCGTATTCGAGGTCTAGGGGAAACACTAGCGAAACTATTGAAGTTAACAATACATTCAATCTGCATATAACTTTTAATAAGTGTACAAAGTCGTGGCAGAACACTAGATTTATACAAGATAAAATAAATAGTTCAGGATTAACAAAAACCCAACTTACAAAGCGTAGAAATAAATACTATCACAGCTATTAACACTTCATAAAAATCACCACAGTTCACACAACACTGCTATAAGCATAAAGAATCACTTAACCGCAAGTAATATAATAATATGATGCTTAAACAACTTAGTACTACACGGCAACACACAGGGCTTATTCTCTCTCAAAGACGTCTGGTCAAAGATTACCTCGAGAGACCTGTACGCGGTCTATTTATAGACTTAGGCAACATGGAAGGTCACCTTCAAATCATAAGGTTATTGGTTGGGGTATCACCTGGTACAAATCAACTAATCATATCATAGTGGAAAAATACTGAGTCTAAGACATTCTTAAGACAGCGGAAAAAAACAGTGATTTCACCACAGACCATATATGGTAAAGTGGCAAATGTAAAACTAAAAATAAATATTACCAGACCTAAGAAGGTCACAACTGTTTCTCGGGCAGATGAGGCTCGTTAGCTGGAGACAGCCACTCTTCTAGGAGAGACAACTCCAAAATTAAACAACTGCTGCCTTGTAGTTTGTTCTTGGTTGGACAAAGGCTGTGGAAGCAAATCCAAAAAGAAAAGCAGGCTAAAATCGGAGTCAATGGCCTCACTGGCACATAACCAGTTGACACGTAACGCTTAATTGTGTTGGAGGCGTGGTCGAGTCGGCAAATAGTTCATGGTTGATAAATTTGAACAAAGTCTCGAGTTCAAACCCGCTGGCAGATAAATCTCGATCCCCTTCAACACTAAAAATTAAGAACGAAGAAGAAGAAGAAGAATCAACTGTTTTAGTTATCCACTAGCTCGTTAATTAATAAAGGAATGTTAGTTATGGTTGTTTCAAAAAGTGAGCTGCTATTAAGAAATATTTACGATATCAATCTTGTATCTGTTCTCTCTAAAACTGAATATCTGTATATCTTAGGTTTTTGTTTTGTAAGGTCGACCAGTTAATTTTAGAATACTGTATTTACAAAAAAAAATTTCAGCCAGTACAAATCAATAGAACGTGTTACAATCCCATTTTCTTGTGCAGTACAAACACATAAAAAAGGTGTGTAGTTTTGTTGTAGATATCATCCACATTAAGAAAATAAAACTAGTTTGCTTCTTTCATAAAAGCTTTGGGCGCTCATGAGATCTTTTACATAATTTAGCGAATAAAACATTTATGCTAAACAGATTTTTAATATTTGTTTTATTATTTACTTCAATCTGGGAAAGTATGGGACGCTTTGCTTAGTGAGTCTAGCAATGCTGTTAACCATATTACTCTTTTGGATGTCGATGTTAGTTGATCAGATAAACTCTACTTTTTTCATACAGTGTGTTCTGATATTGAATTTTGTCATACAACCAGTCATAATCATAAAATATTACATGTATAATGGGGTGTGAAATCGATGAATTTTGATATTTAACAACATGCAAAGACATCTAGATTCTAATAGAAATATAATCTAGTGACCAAAAACATTTTTCAATTGGGTCCATCAGTAGTGTGAGATAGGGGCCCGACGCCATTTGAAACTTACTGACCTAGCTTCGCGGAATGATTTCAAGATCGCAGTTATCTAATCGTGTATCAGACCATGCAGCCAATTCTTAATTTAATGTCCAATAGTTATCCAATTTTTTGAACTCAGACGTGTGCAACGGCACGGAATTTTTTTTATCGAATAGTACTCGGTAATCGGTAAGATTTCTTGACAACGATATATGTTTTATACGCATATGAAAATATATGGTTTATCAATTTTCAACTACATGTCATATGACACATTTGTTATAATATATAGCATATGTGATCTTTGGATTATTACGTGGACATGGTGACATAATGTAACTTTGTGCTTTTTTTATCAAACTATGCCAGTTTCTCGTAATGACTATACGAATGTTACCTTTTTTTTTTTCATAGATATACTTTTGTTGATGTTTGTAATCTACAACAATTATTCATTATCAGTACAGTAGCTCAATGCTATTCAAGCGTTTTTGTTGTTGTCAAGAGCGATAACTTCCGATTTCATTAATAATTGGGAAGTTCCCGATGAAATAGCTCGCTGGTGTTACAGTTGTTATCTTTGTTTATGTGTAGATACGTCAAAAGAGGCGTGTTAATTAAGTGGCGACTTTCTAATTTTACTTTATCAATTTCAGGGGTTCTTTTTGTTTCTTTTTTGGTAACATAATCATTCTAAAAACATATTGAACATAGTAATTAATATAACGTGTTAAAAATACACAATTAATAACGAATTAAGAAGCCATCTTATGTCACCAAGAAGATTAGTTGTGAGAAGAATGGAGGGAGAGATAAGTGCGAGCTAGAAGATTGCCAAGATTCTATTAACTGAAGACAAGCGACGAAAGCTCAGAAGCCATTCAGTCATCATAAAAGAAATCTGAGAACCTCAATTACCCCAGGGACTGTTCTTATTCTTCTTGCTGGAAGACACAAGGGAAAGAGGGTAGTTTTCCTTAAACAACTCAAGTCTAGCTTGCTGCTTGTGACACGATCATGTCATCTAAAAGGTTGTCCGTTGAGAACAATCATTAAAATTTATGCGATTGCCGTAAAGACAAAGTTGAACATCAAGATTATTAAAGTACCAGAGAGAGTAAATATTTTAGAAGGCTTTAGTCTAAGAAGCCCAAACATACAAAGGGTGACATTTTCAATACAAACAAAGAGGTCTATGCTGTCAATGATGAGCGCAAAGAAGACCAGGCTAATATTGATCGTCAAATTTTGGAAGTGATTCGTAAAAACCCTGAAAAGAAGCTCTTGTTTGGATACCTAGGCGCTATGTTTTCATTGTCAAACAACCAGTTTCCCTGAAAGATGGTGTTTTAATTGGGTTTGGCTTATAGAGAAATAAAAAAAAAACATTAATATTGTGAATATAAATTTAAAAAAAAATAAAAAAGATAAATTTTAAAAATGTATATATTAGCCGTCGGTACTCATTACACGTGAATTATAATTATACATGTTCGAGAAAAATATTTGATAAAATAGTTATTGTTCAAAACGCAATGTGCTTTACTACACGTAGAACGATCTTAGTGACAATGCGAAGAAAAACTAAATAGCTAAAATAGGCTACTAATACCTATTAGAAAAACTAAAACCAAATTATACACAATATTACTCAACACAACACCCTATTAAACGCACATACTGATTAAGGGACTTAAAGGACTCCGTTAAAAACCCGGCTGTTTAATGGTATTTATGTTGTTTTTTAAAGTAATTTGTATTTGTTTTGGCCGAGAAAATTGTATAAATTTAATAAATTACGTCTTAAGTAGATCTATAGATCTAGATCTAAATTAAATTTGAATGAAATAGTTCATTTCTACATATTCTAAAATTGGAAGTTGACGCCTTTAGGTTTGTGTACTTTTCGTAGTTTAAACATATGACATGTAACGTCATTGGTTTTTTTTGTTTTTTTTTTTTTTTTGCGTTCTTGTCACAATCATACACATTGTATTTTCGTTTGCACAACTAAAAAAGTATTTCTACATTCGAATATGCCTTTTTTGTATTTTCCTTTTTTAAATAAAATGTAGTTTATACATTTAAAACATCCAACATATTATTTTCAACAAAAGTCCGTATCAAGTTCTCCATATATCGCTGAAGATACTTATCTCATAGCCTCGGAAGAGAGAGAGAGAGAGAGAGAAATAGAGAGCGAGGGAAGTGCACACATGGGCTTTTATATATTAGGATATTTGCAATCGGGTTTTCTTTTATAGTTACTGTTTTATCTGATGTTATTTTGTGAACCTCCTGTATACATATCAGCATATCATGTCAATTATTTTAAAAATAATTTTTTCATATAATTATAACCTAAAGGAGGCGCATAATGGGCACGGCCATCTTGTTGGGAAGGCGGGGGGATTTCAGTATCAATGGATCACATCGATGGGGATTATACCGTAAACCGTGTTAATATACAGTTTTACAGGATCATATTATACCGTAAACCGTGTTAACATACAGTTACACTGGATCATATTATACCGTAAACTGTGTTAACATACAGTTACAGAGAGCTGGACTGCTTAGCCGTAAGTCTCGAGTTCAATCTAACGTCTTTGAGTCCACCCAGCTCTGATGGGTACCTAACTCACGTTAGGGAAAGTAAAGGCTGTTGGGCATAGTGCTGACCACACTATCTCTTCATATGCCGAAGTCACAGAAACAAGTGAACTCTACTTCACTTTCCCCATAGACCGTCAGTTTTGAAAGGGAAACTTTACTTTACTTATACCCACTTCAGGAGGGTGGCTCGGGGAGATCGCCCTATGTCCCAACCCCTAACATAACTTTTGTGTAAATGTAATGTAACGAAGTTCTCATATAGACGTCACTCCTTATAGCGGAGATAAACTCCAAGACTTCTGTTTTCTTGACATCGTCATGTAGAGGATTATATGTCAGATCTATTCTAGTCATGTAAAGGATTATATTGTCAGATCTATTCTAGTCATGTAAAGGATTATATGTCAGATATATACCTGATCTAGTTACTCAACACTTTATCCTGTGTCCTCGAGTCCGGTGAAAAGAACTCACGTGTTGTCAGTTGTTGAACGTGTGCCCTAACTAACCCCCGTCCAACACTGAAACTAGCAACTATAAACAATCAACCCAACAACCTGGAGTTTGAGAGTCCCTCTACTAGTCACGAGGGTCGTACTTGGTACAGCTTTTCTACTATATAAAATTTTTGACATCCCCATAGATAGTCTGTGATAGAATTAAAGCTGTTGACATCACTATAGATAGTCTGTGATAGAATTAAAGCTGTCTGAAAACAATGAGAGCTCACAACACAATTGACATTGAGAACATCACAGGGTAATTATCATTGTGAATTTTTTTTTACTCACTTTATTCCACAGCAATATCAATTTGTTGAAAAGTAATTGTTTTATCCCGTTTTAGCACATCAGTATTGTTAACTTTAAGGGAACTTTAATTTTCACAGATTGCAGAAAAATAATCTGGCTTTATATAAGCTAAACAGTAATATTAATCTATTATTCTGAGATGTAAATATATTAAGTCTGCTGTTTCCTAAATCGAAATTTCCCAAATAAAATAATTGTAACGAAATTTGCATAAAATGATGCAGTCTAGCCAGTGTTAATTAATCTGGATCATTTCTATACTAAAAATAAATATAGATATCTGCATTTAGAAACATATTCTATATTGGACTTAATTCACAGGTAAATATTCACTCTGATTATCTGATTGTGCTGTTGTTTCCTCAATGATTCCTATACATATTTTCACTACAGATAACTTGATTTAACCAGAGTTGATTCCAAACATCTCTTCGGGGGGAGGGGGGGGGGGGAAACTTCCTCTCCCCCCCCCTTACCCCCGAAAAAAGTCTACCGCCCCCCTTAAACGAAATGGTATTTATATAGAAAACATACACTTTTACCAGTGTCTTCGTCGTCGTCGTCCCCCCGGAAAATGTTGACCGACCCCGCCCCAACCCAATTTTTATCAAGTGGACCCCCCCCCCCAGAAGAAAAAAATCTGAAAGAAACATTTAATCTAACGAAGGGGATTATCTATCCATATCATTGACATTCTTTTTAAGTAACATGAGCACAACTTGTACTAACATTTTTATAAACCCTAATATTGGAAAACCCTGTAAAAACGATTATTCCGGATTTTTATTTTCGTTGAATGATGTCATTTGAAGTTTTATAAATACAAAATGTATTAGTGGGTTTATTTTCAAATATTTTATAAATTATCTTCTTAAAACCAGTAGCTTATTAATTATTAATTATTTTACTGTTCAAAAGCAAAGATGCTGAAATTTAATTTTAGGAATCCATATTAGCCAAATATGTTTTACCAAATTATTTATAAACTTATCTGGCAATAATAATTGAAGTTTGCGATCCTATTTTTATATAATATTTAGTGGAAATTGATCTAGATCTATATGAAAATAGTTTATGTTTATAAAAAGCCTTAGTAATTTTTAACGTCACTAAAATTTTGCAAATGCGTAGATCTAGGTGCCTTAAATTTAAACACTTTTAATCAGCCATTGAATGTTTACTCTTTGGCATTTACAAAAACGATACTTTAATGACATAGTTACTTAAGTTACCAAGTATCGACTACTTCTTTGCATAGCAGACGATCACTACTCGCCTGTTCGGCTCAAAGTAAAGTACTAAACGCTCTCCTTTAAATACTTTAATATATTTATAATGTCCTATTAATAATGTCCTATAGCAGTGGTTCCCAACCTTTTTCGAGTGGCGACCCCCTTTTATAAAAAGTAAGTGACCCGCGACCCCCATAGAATTAAAAAGCCGAAATTAGTATGGAAATTAATAAGCACTAAAATAAGGTTTTCTAGTAGACTTTCAATATGAACTACTCTTGATAACTGTTTTAATAGCATGAGTAAAATTGCATACTATTCACTAAACCTTCGTGGTTAAGTTTTTAATTTAAAAATATTTTGTTAAAGCCAACCTATGTCGTTATAATTATCTTAATTTTGTTTTTAATCGAAGAATAGTGTTGAAAATATATTCTCGAAAAGTCAATCAATTTTACGTTTGGGTATGAATGGCGAAGACTACACCAAAATTGTGCCTGCAGTTTTTCATCTTGCTCGAAATCATTCTGCAAATCAAAGAATTCATCTTGTAATTCATCGGGAATGCTGGCAACATCAAGGGAAGAAGAGAATGGGTAATGCGTAAATGCAGATTCTTCTTTTTTTAGCTCAGAGAAATAGCCATGCAGTTCGTTTTCAAGAGATTCAAGATGCCCAGAAATCGCTTCTTTCAAAATTTTAATTATCTCACAATCAGATTCATCTACCACACAGCAGAGTTTCTCAAATTTACAATATTTCCACGATTTGGTTTCTTTACCGATTTTGCAGCTTTGATAAAAATGCTCCGAGATTATCAAGGAAAGTTATAATATTCGTTCATTTTCCCTGAAGCTTAAGGTTAAGCTTATCTTGATGTTCGAACACATCTGCTAGGCATGATACTCTCTCCAACCACTCTATGTCGTTTTAAGTATACCAAAAAGTCTTCTTTCCTTTGCACTCCCAAGAACAATTTGATTTCAGATTTCGATTCAAAAACACAATTTACAACATTTCGTTTGACAGTCAGCGTACTGTAGGCTAGTGTAGAAGAGCAGAACCTCGTGATCTATATTAACGTTTTTGCTCAGTTCTTTGAAGGCTCCAGATTTTTATATAATTTACGACTTATACTAGCAATGGACTATTGATGTCGATTGGATAGGGCAGTGGTTAGGGAGCTAAATCTTTTCTGTTTTCTGAAAGCCCGATTTTGAGCTAAACATAGATGGCGCACCATCTGTACAAACCCCCACAGCCGTTCTAACCCATTTTAATCATCCAGTTTTTAAAAAAGCTATTTATTTTCTCCATGCTATCTTCACAAAATAGCAACACTTCTTTGCTATCATCCGCATGAATATAGCAACTGCAACACGAACTCACGTCTGTTGATTTATCAACTTGAAAAGCAAACAACGGTGAAAGCTTAATTTCAATAAAAATGTGTTATTTAACATTTACGTACATGCAGCGTTTGATGAGATTTTCTCCTATTTTTTTATATATTTTTTTGCTTGGCATTTTCTATCGCGACTTTATTTGATGCTTGCACTAATGCTGGTGAAAACTTCCTGTTCGATCAAGTTTCTGGCGTTTGCAACTAGCTTCTTATCAACGAAAGAACTCCATATCTTTTTTGGTGTATTCCGGCAAAGATTTCATAGTATCGTGACTGAGAACAACTTTGTACAGTGCGATTTGTTTCTTCTCTATTACATTTCCAGTGATGTTAATGAAGTCGAATTTCAAAAATTCTTCTAAATATTTATGTTTTGTTTCAAATTACTAAAGTTTAGTATACCAGTTGGCGACCCCCCAGAAAGACCTTCGCGACCCCCAGGGGGGTCGCGACCCCCAGGTTGGGAACCCGTGTCCTATAGCCTATAAAGAACTATAGGGCACTATTATAGGCCTACTAAAATCTAGATCTTCTAGATCAGTAGATTCTAAATCTAGATCTAGAATCTAGATCTAAATCTGAAATCAAGATTGTAGGTCTAGAATAGTCTAGAGCAGGGGTCTCCAAACTACGGACCGCGGGCCGGAAGCGGCCCGCGAAGTCCTCTCATCCGGCCCGCGGAGATTTTTTTGTCCAAGGAAAAATAGTATGTTGGTGATGGCTGAGGAACTTCGCCCAAAAAATCAAAGACATGTCTGGAAGAAACTGGCCCCCGAACTGAAATTTGATAGTTAATGCGGCCCTCGGACTGAAAAGTTTGGAGACCTCTGGTCTAGAGTCTAGATTCTAGATCTAGATCTACAGTCTAGACTAGATTTTAAACTTTTAACTTTGAGTAATTTATGCGGGAAGTAGGCCCTAGCTACTAGATTCCTCTAGATCTAGATCTAGGCCTAAATCCTAAATATTATTAAATACTGGGTTTTTTTTTCATCACTGCTTTTACCCGCTTTTTTCTTTGCCGTTTTTCTTTTGCCACACTTTCCTAACTTTTCCAAGCAGACTGATAAAATAAAACTGTCCAGGTATTTTAGCTTTTTTTTACTCAACCTGTTAAACCTGCTACCCTATTACTTGAAGGTAATCTAACGTTTTAGCGTAATCAATTCAGTCGTCACTAGTAATGTAGGGATAAGGTAACTAAAGATAATTGAATATTAAACCACATTTAAGGGTTAAATCAATAAAAATGTCATGAAATTAAGGTTTAACAACGATGTTCCAGATACTAAATTTGCTATTAAAAACGGCGGCCATCTTAAGAAAATATTATTTTGAGTCATTTCCCTTTCATTTCTATTTGTATTGAAATGTATTGATGTTTGCTATTAAATACGTTTGTCTTGTGTTTAAATACAAAGCATGCGGGTTTTTTTTTTAAATTCTGCCCTTTAAACAATTTAATTGCCTGACAATAAACATCAGTTCTAGAATTATAATTATGAGATGCAATGTGTATGCATTAAGAAACTCCCTATTTTTATAGAGCTACCACTACATATCTAATGTTTATTTAAATATTAGTTTGAGTTAATTGTTATTGCTTGTGTTATTGTTTGTTTGCTATTTTCATTTAATATTTTCATGCTTTTCTCCTTTAATTAGTGATTTAATCATAAATTTCGCCACGTTTTTTTTTTACCTATCTTCACCTTAAACCCCCCCCCCCCCCATTTTCGCCGTCACGAAATAGTCGTAATGTCGAAAATTACATTTTTGCCCTGCCTGTTAAAAAGTCAAGCCATAATTCAAACGAAAAAGAATATTTTCAGCATTTTTGTATTAGGCGAAACACTTAACGTTTCACGTTTCTTAACGCTCCCCTGTCCCGCGTAAAACGTCGTCTCAAAATCAGTTACTCCACCCCTTAAGTGCGTGATGTCATTTATGGTAGATGTCAATTCCTAACATCCAATACACATTTTGAACAACCTTTGTTGTCAAAATGTTGATACCAAATGCCCAAAATGAGTTATCTGGGGTTGTCCATAAACGATGTCACATATGCTATTCTAATGTGACGTCAAGTTACGCAGGACTGCAATTTATGACCTATAATGAAGGGGTGATCGGGGGAGGGGGGATGAGTGACGTCAATTATGGAAGACTTCTATAAAGCTGTGCTCAATGAAAATGAGGAACATAAAGCGTTCGTTTTCATGCATGCCTTTGCTCATAACGAATGATCATAACTATTGCAAGCCTGTTGTCCTAAGCGGTGTTAAACAACCTCAGCACACCATCCCCGCCAAAAAGGGCCTGCCACTAAATGCCTACCGACGAAAATAGGCCGCACTATATTGAAATAACTTCTGACAATAAGGCTCAAACCAAGTTGCTCCTGGCAACGGTATTCGACAAGAATCCAAGACAATTATTGTCTTGCAGGTAAAATTGGACAAAACAGCAAGTTTCGCGACATGGGGCATAACAAAAGATCAACCCTTAATACGACAGCAGCTAATGTAAAACGCCAGAGCTCAGTATAGGCTTGAGTTTAATATAGAAATAGTGTTAGCAGTGGACGGTGCATTAGGAATAGGCTACGGCAGTCGGCTAAACGCCCGAGTCCGACGATGTCTGAACATCAAGTTTGTCTTTTATGAAGTGCGGAGCACCTTTAAGAGCTGAGCATGGTGAGGGGGGTCCCTTTTGACACCACCATTATCGCCGCTTATGTCCACATATCAATCACAAGTTTTGCGTGGAGCTTAATGGGCAGACGAAGTGTATAGGTGGGACTGGGAGCCTAAATGCATTTACGGAAGCCGCTGTGTCACGGGCATTTTACAGCCGAACGTCTCAGGGCAGCAGGTTGCAGAAATTAAAAGCACGTGAATTTGTATAGTAGAGGGAGCACCGCAAGCCACTGTAATAAATTATAAACACCAATATAATTTACCGAACAAAAGTCATTTAGATCTATTCGTCAGGCTAAAAGTCGCTAAAGTCTCAACTCCATAGTGCCTGTTTTGATTTTTTTTAATTACGCGGTATCTCTTTCTTTAACATTAGCCTAATGACAAATGACGTCACGCACGCCGAGAACTTGGTGATGTTGTGCTAAGTGGGGGATGAAACGGCGGGGTTGAGAAAAACTACGTATTTCTTTTTTAACAGACGAATAAGAGGTCATCCATAAATGACGTCACGTTTTTTTGGACGATTTTTACCTCCCCCTCATCACACACCGTCACAAAATTACGGACCCCCCCCTCCCCCCTACGACGAGTGTGACGTCATTTATGGACGACCCCTAAGTGATAGATTCTAATTCTCCTACGAACTATAGGTTGATCTAGTTTTTTTTTCTAGAGGGAGATATCACTATATAGTGGGTGTTTTTTTTGTTTTTGTAATAATGGATGGTGGGGAGGGGTAAACATCGACTATTGAACAAATCAAAAACGGATGGAAGCAGAAGGCAAAGAAAGAAAAAACATGTGGTATTCAGCTGTAACTAATTAAAATTTAAAACTATTTTTATAAACACAATATGAATAATCTTAATTCAGAAAAAGTGTAGGCTTAAGACTAATGTCTACAGACAAAATAAACAATTAGGCTTAAATGGATCACCCATAAACAGTGCTGGCGCCAGGTTATTTAGCGCCCTATGCAAAACTTATTAAAAGCGCCGCCCCCCCCCCCCCCCGCAATTTTTTTCAAGCCCCGGTATTATCAGACGCGTAGCGACCCTTCCAGGCGCCCCGGGACAAGCTTACGATTTGCACCCCCCCACTCAAACTTTTAATTTGTTTTTCCAACCCATTTTAGCGCCCCCCCCCCTACGGACAGCGCCCTAGGCGACAGCCTAGTTCGCCTTATAGGTAGCGCCGGCCCTGTTCATAAATGACATCATACTTTTCCCGACGAATTCCCTTTCCCCCAATCGTCATTAAAAGCAAGATGATTTAATATCATATCGCAGTTCTAATACCCGAACGCGTAATCACAATTTCTAACGAAAACGAATATATTGTTCATCTTTTTTTTTTTAAATATTTTACCCCGTCCCATATTTTGGGTCCAACGTCATTTATGAAGAATATGGACGACCTAATATTTGACAAGTTCATCAGTACAAAAGGGTTTAATAAATGTTGGACCTCCCAAAAGTTTTTGAGATCTTTGATGTACGTACATACATGACCTTCATTTCAATTGAAATTAAAGATAAGAAGACGGCCCTCTGTGCTACTTACATTAAACAAGAAAGCTATGTATATTACACAACAAAGTCAACACAATATACATACGAATAGACATTTGTATCAAGGGAAACTACTCTAAAATTTATTTGGAAAGATGGCCACTGTTTTTATCTATTAATATTTATCTCAAACACCTAGTTTAAAGTTAGTTTCATGATATTTTAATTTTTTTTGGTCACTGATTGTTATTTTAAATCCATTATCTGTTATATTTTGTAAAATTTGACTTAAATAAACTTATTTAAACAAATATATTCATCAGTTACGTCTCCCGCACATTACTACGGCAGCCGAATTGATTACGCTAAAACGATATAGATCTAGATAGATATATATATATATATATATATATATATATATATATATATATATATATATATATATATATATATATATATATATCAATGTTTGTGTGTTTGTTTGTGTGTGTGTGTCTGTTTTTTTATGCAGTACTACACCTTTCATCCGATCGCCATGAAACCTTGGGAAGTTGCTAAAAATTTTCATGGAAAGGTTTCTGCGAAAAAAGTTTTTCAAACTCGCAGGATTCCCCCCCCCCCCCCCCCCCCCCGGCAGCGCGCTATTCGATTCTATATAATGTATATTAAAGTAAAGTCGATTGCGGTTTGACAACGTTCATCCGTTCGTCATGAAACCTTCCGAAGTTGACTAAAACACTCCAGGGGAGGTTTGTACACACAAAAAAATCATTTTAAATTTTTTAGGGGCGGCGCCCGGGTGGTGTATTTTTGTCAATACACATTTTGGCGCCCAGAGTTCCCGAGCGGCTATGTTAGTACTTGGCATCCGTTAATCGGGCGTTCTGCATATCGGGTAAGGGGTATTACTATATTCAGCGGCAAAACTGCAACAGGTCCAACCACCGGCGCCTCGTTGATTGCGCGACCCGAAGCGCCCCGGGCTCACCTGCGAGCACTATGGCGCCTACGTTCGTTTAAAAAAAATAGACTATACACTATAGACACCTATAGACGCCTATCTTAGTTTTAAGGAGCACCCTACAATACGACATACGATGATTAAACCGAGCTAGGGGCCGTACGCAGCGCCACTGCGGTAGTGTAATCGGGTTCACGCGAGAGCCACTTTCCGTCCTCGACAATTAGGCGGTGAGGGATTAACGGCGATAATACGGTGAGTGATTGACTTACACTCAAGTCTTTCATACAGCACGACATGGTGATAGGCGGTAGTGTAGGTAAACCCGTGCCCCGATAAATATGATCCAAACACATGCATTGTTTACACTTATATAACTCAGCTTTAGAAAACAAGGAAGTACACTGAAATAGGGAGTAACTAAATATTCTAATAGAATAGCGAGTTTTTATTGTTTATGTTTGTTATTATTATTATATCGTTCATTACCGAGTGCTGCAGACTAATACTTTTATGAGTTTTAAAAATAAAATAAAACAATTATTAACATTTGTGCACCGAGCTGAAGAGCCGCACCTTGACACCAAAAGAGCCGCATGCGGCTCGCGAGCCGCATGTTGCCGACCCCTGCTATAGACTACTCTTTGTTTTAATGTTTTTTAACTGCTATACCATTCCGAAATAATAACCGACGCTAAACTGTGGTATTACGAATAGGCCTGTATATCTAACTCGTTTATTATATTGCAACACTTATTAATCCAGTTGTAATTAGATATGGATAAAGATTATATCTAGATAAATATATAGAATCTAGATCTGACTAACTCTATCTATCTAGTCTACAAAATCAACACACGTGCAAAATTTTATAAAATTAAGAAACCAAGTTAGAGAAATTAATTAGAGTTTAGACTTGAGCATACACTGTTAATCTAGTTTGTTAATTGATGTAATCCTATATTCTAAAGTTATGAAGGTATATAATAGTATGCATGTCTTTTTATCAAGGTGTATGAAGGAGAAACATGGACAGTGGAATCACCCATCAATAGGGCTATAAAGACATAAATATTTTATTCAAATTAACCAATTCCAAATTTACTAGAGGTTTGTGATGAATCCTACATTTTTTTATTCATTCAATAGAATTTGATCTAGCATTTTAATAGACTACATATTTATAAAGTCAACTTTGATTACGTCTTAGAAAACGTATTTACAATTTAGTCAATAAGTTAGTGTCTCTTTTGTAGGTTTAAATTTCAGAATCATATTAAGATGTGCTTGAAACTGAATTTTTTCCATTATTTCACATTTAAAATACTTTTTTTTTATAAATTGTAATAGAAGATATATACTAAGCTTCAATAGGTTAAAGGTATTTTAGTATAAGTATTAAATCTCTTAATAATAAAAAATTACATAGTTGATGTGTGATATCATTTTAAGGGGGGGGGGGGGATCTGGCTTGAAAGACAATTGATGGATGGCAGGTAAATATTAAAAATGTGAGACAATTAAAAGCCACACATTTTAAACATTTTAAAGATGACATTAGCTAAAACTAAAACATTATTTATAGAAGAAAAGCACAAGTAATGAGAGTTTTAAGATTATTTACTTGATATTGTTATGAAAATAATTTTATTGCATATAGCTTCTTCTTTTTCTGTGTTCTTTTTTGAGTTTATCTAGCTGATAACTAAGTGAAAAAAAACAAATTGACATAAAAATAATGAAGCTTTTATGAAAAAGGCAAAGTTTGAGAATGTGCTAAGCTACTTTTTGGACCAGTTAAAAAGAATTCAAATTTGATATAGATCGATGTAAATATTTTTTTATGTAGGCTGCTATCTGATGTAACCGTTATTTAGAGTAAAACAATTGTGTAATTATAATTTACTGTGATGCAATGTTATGTTGGGTGAAGTAGAGTTCAGCTGATTCAACTCCAGTTTAGTTCTATGACCAGATTATGTTAGTCAGCACCACACCAAACTGTCTTCACATCACTATAAAAGAATCTGGAACTCATTCTTAAGGTTGACTTAAATGATGATAAATTTTGTAACAAAATCATAAAATGTAAGTTTATTTTACAATAATTTTTTTATTGCAGGTAAAGTTGTCAGAGATGGGAAATACAGGTGGGAAGAAAAGAGAAACTTGGTTGGCAGCGAAAGGTAAAATACATTTTTCTAGGCAACATGTTTTGTATTTACTGTAAATGTTTAGAACATCCCAGTTGTTTTACGTACCTTATTTTAAATACATTTTAATTTGTATTTTTTTAAAATATGGATTCCCTCCCCTTGTACCTCTCCAGGACATCATGAAGCCGAGATCTGCTATGGAGGTGAAGCTGTCTTACACAAGCACTATAACAGCTGTAAGAAGAACCCAGGTCATGTCAACTTTATACATGTTAATGATTTTAACTTGGATCATCTCCCCTCACGTTACCGTGACGTCATCATGTTGGAGCTAATCAAAGCTTTGTCTGCCCTAACCGTCCTGATAAAGGTCAAGTACACCAGTCTAGAGAGACCAAAGTCTGTTCCATGCTTCAGTGGTCAGTATCCATTTTATAACTACAAAGGAAGAAATGTGTTGAGGACAGGGACGGGGAGGGTGTGTGATGTGGTCAAGTACACAGAGAGTGACAACAAGGGCACTTGTCCATGTGGCAAGTGTCAAGACTCGGACACACCCAGCAAAGTGTGGGGGGTGGTTGGTGTGAGGACAGCCACACACATGGTGTTTGATGCCAGTGAGGCGAGACAGACCAGGTGTGTTGTAGGTTTTGATGACAATAAAAATCCTGGGGTCAATCTTGATGGCTGGGGGGTTAGGGTGGCAGACATGAGATACGGGTGTAGGTTTACATGTGTGTCGTGTGACTTAGAGTTGGTTGATGAACTGGACAAGTTGTGGCGGCAGTTTGATGATCTATGGCAGAAAGTATGGGACAAATACAAGGGATTTGATGATGTGGACAAGTTGACTGTTATAGTGTCACATCCTCATGGCTGTCCTAAACAGGTCTCTGTAGGACAATGGACACACATACATGAGAGGGGAAAATTGGTACAAGTACACGAACACAACATGTACATGTCCTGGCTCCAGTGGAGCGTATCTCTACATGTCGGGATATGCCGGGTGTTTGTGGTCACGTCCCCACAGTGGATCAAACTCTGAAGGAAATTATAGTGGGAAGATTGTGTTGTGTTGATCCATCTGTAACTGTTGGTTCTCTCCCCTTATCTAATGTAAACAAACAAAATGGCGGCTCCCTTCATTAAACTTAATTTGTTTGGTTTCTTTCACGTCATTTGTTTAGAGTTGTTAGACACCTAAACAAAATTATAAACAAATGTTTATTGTTGAGAAATGAAATATTAATAGGCTACACTTGTATCTTTTTTTTGTTTAAACCTCCACATTAGATTTGTCATCGCCATCATTGTCTTTATTTATACTTTATTTCATGTTTGTATTTGTTTACAAAACTGTTTGTATTTGTTTACAAACTGTTTGTATTTGTTTACAAAACTGTTTGGATGTCAATAAAGTTTTAGATCTCAAAGTTTCTTTCATTTATTTTGTTATCGTTGATAATCTTAACAAAACACGATGGCAATGAAGAGAAATGTCGGTAGTCAAGTTTGTAGCTGAGACTTAATGTCGGCAGTCAAGTTTGTAGTTAAGAATTAATGTCGGCAGTCAAGTTTGTACTTAATATCTGCAGTCAAGTTTGTAGCTGAGACTTAATCTCGGAAGTCAAGTTTTTAGCTGAGACTTAATGTCGGCAGTCAAGTTTGTACTTAATGTCGGAAGTCAAGTTTGTAGTTGAGACTTAATGTCGACACTCAAATTTGTACTTAATATCTGCAGTCATGTTTGTAGCTGAGACTTGATGTCGGCAGTCAAGTTTGTAGCTGAGACTTAATGTCGGCAGTCAAGGTTGTACTTAATGTCGGCAGTCAAGTTGGTACTTAATGTCGGAAGTCAAGTATGTAGTTGAGACTTAATGTCGACAGTCAAGTTTGTAGCTGAGATGTAATTTCGGCAGTCAAGTTTGTAGCTGAGACGTAATGTCGGCAGTCAAGTTTGTAGCTGAGACTTAATGTCGGCAGTCAAGTTTGTAGCTGAGACTTAATGTCGGCAGTCAAGTTTGTAGCTGAGACTTAATGTCGGCGGTCAAGTTTGTAGCTGAGACTTAATGTCGGCCGTCAAGTTTGTAGTTAAGAATTAATGTCGGCAGTCAAGTTTGTACTTAATATCTGCAGTCAAGTTTGTAGCTGAGACTTAATCTCGGCAGTCAAGTTTGTAGCTGAGACTTAATGTCGGCAGTCAAGTTTGTACTTAATGTCGGAAGTCAAGTTTGTAGTTGAGACTTAATGTCGACACTCAAATTTGTACTTAATATCTGCAGTCATGTTTGTAGCTGAGACTTGATGTCGGCAGCCAAGTTTGTAGCTGAGACTTAATGTCGGCAGTCAAGGTTGTACTTAATGTCGGCAGTCAAGTTGGTACTTAATGTCGGAAGTCAAGTATGTAGTTGAGACTTAATGTCGACAGTCAAGTTTGTAGGTGAGATGTAATTTCGGCAGTCAAGTTTGTAGCTGAGACGTAATGTCGGCAGTCAAGTTTGTAGCTGAGACTTAATGTCGGCAGTCAAGTTTGTAGCTGAGACTTAATGTCGGCAGTCAAGTTTGTAGCTGAGACTTAATGTCGGCAGTCAAGTTTGTAGCTGAGACTTAATGTCGGCGGTCAAGTTTGTAGCTGAGACTAAATGTTTTCAGTCAAGTTTGTAGATGAGACTTAATGCCGGCAGTCAAGTTTGTAGCTGAGACTTATTGTCGGCAGTCGAGTTTGTACTTAATGTCGGCAGTCGAGTTTGTACTTAATGTCGGCAGCCAAGTTTGTACTTAATGTCGGCACTCAAGTTTCTACTTAATGTCGGCAGTCAACTTTGTACTTAGTGTTGGCAGTCAAGTTTGTACTTAATTTCGGCAGTCAAGTTTGTAGCTGAGACTTAATGTCGGAAATCTAGTTTGTACTTAATGTCGGCAGTCCAGTTTGTAGCTGAGACTTAATGTCGGCAGTCAAGTTTGTAGCTGAGAATTTATGTCGGCAGGCAAGTTTGTAGCTGAGACTTAGTGTCGGCAATCAAGTTTGTAGCTGAGACTTAATGTCGGCTGTCAAGCTTGTACTTAATGTTGGCAGTCAAGTTTGTAGCTGAGAATGTCGGCAGTCAAGTTTGTAGATGAGACTTAATGTCGGCAGTCAAGCTTGTAGCTGAGACTTAATGTCGGCAGTCAAGTTTGTAGCTGAGACTTAATGTCGGCAGTCAAGTTTGTAGCTGAGAATTTATGTCGGCAGGCAAGTTTGTAGCTGAGACTTAGTGTCGGCAATCAAGTTTGTAGCTGAGACTTAATGTCGGCAGTCAAGGTTGTACCTAATGTCGGCAGTCAAGTTTGTACTTAGTGTCGGCAGTCAAGTTTGTACTTAATGTCTGCAGTCAAGTTTGTACTTAGTGTCGGCAGTCAAGTTTGTACTTAATGTCTGCAGTCAAGTTTGTTCTTAATGTCGGCAGTCAAGTTTGTTCTTAATGTCGGCAGTCAAGTTTGTAGCCGCGAACATAAGTGTACTTGCATGAGCTAACAGTTCTATTTCAGTTTATTTTTGTACGCACTTAGTTTGTTGTTTATATGTTATGGCTGATTAGCTGTCTTCTTAGTTTTGTAAAACCTAGACAGTGAGACGTTAAATTTAATTCCTTCAGCATTTGTGTGGTAAAAAAATATCAGAAAATTCAAAAAAGTTCAGAAAATTACCAAAACGACAATATTTCAAATGTTTTATCAACTATTATATTTCCCGACTAACTCTAAAATCAATAACAGAATAATTCATTAATTGATGTAGATTCTAATGGTGTATCTAATACTATCCTTTCTAAAGTATTTACTAAATTGAATTATTTTTTTCGAGTTCACCCCTGCGCCAGGCTTTTAAAATACAACGATATATTTACAAATCTTGTTCAGCCAGTGCAAACGAGTACAATTGCAATCCCATATTTCGTGCAAACACAAAATATCAAGTTGTTTAGCTTTGTTATAGATATCATCTTCATTATTGAGGGGGAGGGAGGGGGGGGGGGGGTAAGTTATAAACAAGGCAAAATATGTTTACATGGGCACATGACAAGACGTTTCTGTAGATTTGTTATGGGCGTTGTCGACTGGCCCACTACAAGACACCTCTTGATGTTCTTAAAGGTTTAAATAAACAAAAAAGAACAAAATAAAATAATTATACGATGTACAGTTATTTAAACTATCAGAAATTTCCATTTAATTTGTAATTAAATAGTAATTAATTAGGTTAAAAGCCAACTTCCGCTTGACAAACGCTGATTTGAGATTGTGAAATCATTTGTATTTAAGAAGAAATAAATTGTGTTATGTAATATGAAGTCCATGCTTTATAACTGATTTATTTCCAGGAAGTAAATCTGGTAAGGTATCTTGTATTAATGAATTTCTATAACAACAGACAATATGTCATTATATTTGGTTACTCATTGTAATTTTAATTTGTTTGCATGTGATTAAAACTGTGTTGTTTTCTTTCGTTTATAATACGAAACTTTATATACACTAACAATAACTTTAAGTTCACTCTGTTATACTAAATATTTTAAAGCTTATATACTGAATACAATTATATTTAGATTTTATTTGATGTCAACCTTTCTGTAGAACAAAGTTCAACCCCCGAGAATGTTGGTTTCCATTTGTACACAACACACAAAATGTGAAGGCTATAAGAACAGACGGTAACAAACACAACTGTTTAGAAAAATTTAAAAAGCCACTGTTTTCATCCAATTGTTTATTAGCTGTAGTTGGACATAATGGCATCACTATGGATGGGTGAAGACAACAGTTATTGACGATGATGAAGGAAGATGATTAGAAGATGATAACGAAGATGATTAGAAGATGATAACGAAGATGATTAGAAGATGATAACGAAGATGATGAGATGATGATAGAAGATGATCAATTTAACAATGGTCCTAGTCTGGTGACATCACATGTCATGCACTGGTCAACCACATGTCATTCACAAGA